GTCTGAGCCACTTAGATCCTAATCCAATTTCATCAAGCCATATTAAGATTGGTCCGAACCATTTGGTTCGGATTACACCTAATTCAACATTTATATAGTATAGATGCATTTTTGAGTCAAAGAGAGTATTACACGGAGGAAGTTCGCCGTATCCACGAGTTTGTAGTACTGCTACTGGTGAATGTAAACCGTTGTATTCTGGGAGACAAACGCCATAGAGTCCGTTAGCACCATGCGGGACGTAAATTATCTTAAAGACATAATATCCAATACTAGTCTCAGTCTAAGTTCTTTATTTATTATTATTATTTTATTGCATTAATTTATATTTTAATTAAATATCATGTTAAATATTTAATTATTATTTTTAACATATTATTAAATATCTCGTGACACATTAGTATAAGATTAATGATATATTAAATATCATTTGAAGCATATATCTTCTTACGGTATACATGCCCGGGTATGCAGGGTCTAACATAGTTGATGCAGCACACAGGGCCTCCCACACCCATGCTCATGTGTGATTCATTTTTGTTTATTTTTCAAATTGAAGTCATTGCATGATAGTTGACGTCAAGCATATCTCCATTTTGTATATGTAAGTTTCATGTATATTGAGGGAGAACTTTCCTACATGAACAATACACACAATACCCTTAAAAAAACAAAAAAAAAATAATATTGCTATAAGTCACTGAAAATGAAATAGAGAAGCCTAGTGCAAATGCTACGGGCTTATACAAAATAATAAAAGTAATATTATTATATATTGAATGCGGCAAGTGTGTGTGTATATATATATATATAATAATATTGAATGCGACAAGTGTGTGTGTGTATATATATATATATACACACACATCAGTAAAAATCACGTGCAATCCACGTGATCAAAAGTTATTTTAATTAAAAATTATAGAAAATTATTAAAATAAATTTTATTTTTAAATAATTAATTAGCAACTTGTTTGATAATTACAATTTTAAATATTAATGAAATCAAATGTATTATTATTTTTTTGAATATTCATAAATCATGAACAAATAGTATTCTAAGTGTAAAGATTAAAATTTAAGGAGTTACAAAATTTTACTTAAATAATTATTAATTATGATATAAATACTAATTTTAGATAAATATTAAAATTCATAATTTTAAGCCATTAGTCATTATTGTAAATCATAATAGGTTAACAACATAAAATAGTAAAAGAAAAAAAAAAAGTAAAATTTATTAAGTAACTAAGTGTATAAAATAGTTCTAACTACTTTTTTTTTGACTTTGGGTGTGAAGCTTTAATAAATTTTTTATTTTTTTGCTTGGACAAGGTAGCTCTAGCGGACTTTTTATCACAATATAAGTTTAACAATTAAGTGATATTAGTGGTGATAATTTAAACTATTTGTGAATGTTGAGTTGTGAATAACTTAGAAAATGGGGTATGAGACAAATATTGTGAAAAAATCATAAATAAAATTGAATTTGTGACTTTGTGTACTTTGCTTCCTACATATAAAATGTAATTAGGATGGTATGAGTCCTTTCTTTGTTTAAGAGAGAATTCAATTTCAAATATAATTATTGATTAAAATTTTCATATAAATTATAAATACATCAAATTAAAAAAATAAAAGTTCTAACACAAAAAAATTTGAAGAATATTGTAAAGAAATATATTGATTTTAGTAAAATATATTTTATATAGTGAGAGATTAAGCTTGTAACAGTAGAAAATAACATTACTTTTTGGATTAAATTAAGTAAAATCATATAGAAATAAATAAAAACTTGTATCATAGTTTAAAAATCTATATTTCCTATTGAGTAAAGTAAGTTTATACTAATTCCTTGGTAATGGAAAAATCAATGAGATTTTTTTTTTTTTTTTTGGTGAGAGATACCTAATATTTGAGATTGGCATGATTCATAGTAAAAAAAGTCAGCGGAGGAAATAAAGTTTTAAAATTGACTAATTTGTTGTTTAAAACTCCAACTCTACTTATGTGTTGTTTTCCCAATACTGAAATACTGAAACTCTTTACACTTTTTCTGAGAAACTCTTAAAAAATATAAATTGGTTATGTATTAAATTATGGGAATAATTTATAAAGAATCTTATTAATTTTTTTAATAGGAATTCAATTATTAAACTTTTTAATAGGAATTCATTATTAACTTTTTATACATTTCCTTGTCTAATTAGAGAAACTAAATTATTTAATGTCTTTATATATTTCCTTATCTAATAATTAGGTTTCCTTTTATTAAAAACTCATAATGAATAGGTGATTTGAGTTTTATAGAAACTCTTATAACATCTTATATTAATTAAAAAATAAAAAATAGCTAATTTGTGTTAGAGTTTTATAGAAAAACTTATAAAAAATCTTTTTTTTATATTAATTAATAAATATCTTTATATTTAAGAATGCATCAAAAATAAAAAATAAAAAATAGAAAAAATTCAAAATTTTTACATACCAACAAGACTCAAAACAATAAATTAATATTGAACCAAATAATAAAAATTTTCAGCAACAAATTCAATTCAAAATCTAGTCCATTCCAAACTCAAAAAACATTGAAACCCGGCTCAAAATAATAAAATAAGAATGAACCAAAAATAAAAAATAAAAACTAGAAAAAAAATTACAATCCAAAGTAAACTTACAAAGAGTAAAATAAAAATAAAAAAGAAGAATGATACTTTTGAAAAATAAAAAGTAAAGAAAAAAAAAAAAAGCAATAATGACTCAAAATAATAATAAATTAAGAATGAACCAAAAATAAAAAAATAAAAAAAATGAAGAAAAAAAAAATCACAATCCAAAGTAAACTTACTAATTCAATCAACCACTTCTAAACATCAATTAGAAAGACAAAAATAAAAATAAAAAGAAAAAAATTAATAATGTTTCTAAAAAGAAAAAGTAAAGAAAAAAATTAACAATTGATCAACAACAACTATTGCTGTCTTCTCAATACAACAAATTAAAAACAACAAATTTTGAAGCATTATTATAAAGACACCAACTATAAAGAGAAAAAAAATATGTGATAGAGTTGTATATAAATTATTTTATTTTCTTTAAATAGATTCTTGTCTAATTAGATTTCTTTTTATTAAAAAACTCATAATAAATAGATAAATAAACATTATATGTGATAGAGTTTTATAGAAAATAAAATAGGTAATTTGTGCTAGAGTTTTATAGAAATAAGTAATTTGTGGTAGAGTTTTATAGAAATTATTTTATTTTCTTTAAATATATCTTTGTCTAATTATATTTCCTTTTACTAAAAAACACTCATAATAAATAGATTAATAGGTAATTTGTGTTGAAGTTTTATAGAAACTCTTTTAAAAACTCTTTTCATATCGTTTAATAAATATTTTTTATATTAATTTTATTAAAAAATTCATAAATAAATATTGAAATATTTATTAATAAATAAGTATTGAAATATTGTTTTGTGTTATGTGTTAGAGCTTCATAAAAACTCTTTTTATATCAATTAATAACTTTTTTTTTTTATATTAGTAAATAAATATTAAAACTCTTTTCATTTTTAATAATAGATATAGATATAAATATAGCCATAGACACCAACACACATGCGTTTATACATTCTTTCTATAAACGATCTCTTAGAAAAAAAGTTTACTATTTCTTTTGGTTTAACGTCAATATAGTAGTATTAATTAATGTGAAAGAAGGTCAATTTCTATAAGTGTTTGCGACTACATGAAATGTTTTATGGTTTCATAAATTGACCAAGACTAGTTTGGTATGGATGAATGAAATAAGATATGAATGAAATGATCATTCTCATTCTCTCATTTGGTTATGCATGACTTAAAAAAGAAAATTAATCTATATATATATATAAACCAAATAAATATATATATATATACACACACATAAATATATATTTTTCATGTATATTTGGAAATTGAGTAGGGAATATTAAAAAAAATTGACTTTTATCGGATCTCGTTGTTTGAGAAAAATGTTTATTTTTATTCTGTTTTTTTTTTTAAGCGTGGAATGGAATGTCTAATTCTTTTGTTAGAAAATGGAATGATTTTAATGAAATAACCATTTTTCAAGAAATGTGAAGAATAGACATTCTATCTTTAAAATTACTTTCCAAACAAAAGAATAAAATTAAAAATATTTCATTCTATTCCTACCTACCAAATTATCCCTAAATTCCTTAAAGAGGATTATTGACAATAGCCAACTCCTATATTATCATTGAATTACTATTTCTTTTGCATTAATGCGAAAGTATTAATATAAAAGCTCAATTCTAAAAATTTAAACTTTAAAATGTGAATAAATTGAATATCTATCCTTTATCAAGTTTATTGTTGAATTTAAGAGTCATCACTTAATTTTAATTATTTTCAAGACAAATAAATATATTATGTTTAGTCAAAATTCACAACAAATATTACCGACGGCCTTTCACACATAATTTAACGCTTGTAAATCTCAAATAAAATTAATTTCTAAGATAACACTCGTTTTGTTGAAAATTAATATCAACAATCACTATAATTTTTAGTATTACACTCGTTTTCAATTTCGATCAATTTGTGTTCCAAACTTATATGTTCGTTACTGAGACAAACACTTGTTCTTATCCATTTTTAATTAAAAGTATGCACTATTCATTGATTTGTGTATTCACATGCGGAGTGGGTCAATTAAATGACCTAAGGAAGATTCCAAGAGGTTTCTTATTAAGTTACTTTTTCATGAATATCGGCAAAATTCCCTAAAACTATGCAAATCCTAATGGAAACCGTCATCCAAAATTTCCTCAAAACTTCTGCACCCATTTCATCACTCTCTCCCAAAAAGGGCTCAGCTGATCTGATCATCACCGTCCATTTTCCACACCTAGTGGGACCCAATTCCTTTGCTTCCAACCAACTCTCATTCCATCTATATTCCCACTCATTTTTCTCTCTTACCTCCCCCCCCCCCCCCCCCCCTCTCTCAGCCTATGGCTTTTTCTGTGAACTGTGAGATAGAAGAAGAGGAGTCCATAAACTCCGTAGCCAAACAGTTCCGACGGTTCGATGTGGTCGCCGATGACTCGGACCACTTGTATCTCAGAACGAACCGGTCCCACAAAGACAACAACAACGGAGGGGATTGCCTGATCAAACCATCGAGTGGGGTCCACAAGAAGATCATGAAGGAATGGAAGGTTCTAGAAGAAAACCTCCCGGACTCCATCTATGTCCGTGTCTACGAGCGCCGCATCGATCTCCTCCGAGCCGTGATCATCGGCTCCGCCGGCACACCCTACCACGACGGTCTCTTCTTCTTCGACCTAGCCTTCCCACCCGATTACCCGGCCCGCCCGCCCCAAGTCTCCTACCGCTCATTCGGGTTGCGACTCAACCCGAACCTCTACGCGAACGGGCGGGTCTGTCTCAGCCTCCTCAACACATGGGTCGGTAACAAACGGGAAAAGTGGAACCCAGCTGAGTCCACGGTGCTTCAGGTCCTGGTCTCGATCCAGGGACTCGTCCTCAATGAAAAACCGTACTACAACGAACCGGGTTCCGGAGTTTTCCCGGGCGGGTCGAAGAAATCCATGGCTTACAGCGAGAATGCGTTTGTGTTGTCGTGTAAGACCATGGTGTACTTGCTTCGCAGACCACCCAAGAACTTCGACGACTTTGTTGCTTCACATTTTCGCGAGCGCGCGCGTGTGATTCTAACAGCTTCTAATGCGTACCTGAATGGTACCGCAAGAGTCGGGTATTACACTGATGACGGGTCTGGGTCGGGTTCATCTTCTTCGTCGTCATCGTCTTCCGTGAATGTGTCGAGTCATTTCAAGTCGATGATGAAGTCGTGGTACCCAGAAATGGTAGCGAGTTTTAACAAGACTGGGGCTTCTTTGGGGAATTTCGTCGAACAGTTGAAGGTGGAGAAAGAAACGGCATCTTCTTTGAGTTTGAAGAAGAAGAAGAAGACGGCGTCGTCTAGACCTCTGGTGATTGCTAAAACGACGTGTGGGGTAAGTATGATGATTGGGAAGGTGAAGAAGATATTGGGATTGAAGAAAGTTGGAAAGGGCCATGAAAACCGGATTATGGTGAAGTCTTCTTGAAGGGAGAGACGAATTAAGGGACCCACTTGAGTTTTATTTTTAATTTTACTTGCTTTATCCGGTGAAAATAAGTTAGTAAATATATGTCCATGATGATGATTGGAATATATGAAACTGTTAAAAGTTATTGGGGGTATATAATACACGATTAATTAGTATAAAAAGTGTTGCTTTGTTGAAGTTTAAATATTTACTGTAATGTTTTTTTTGTTTTTTGTTTTTTGTTTTTTGGTAGGTATAATGGTATGTTTCAAATTTTATTGTTCTTTTAGTTAAAGTGGTCATGCTTTAATTTACACAATTATTCTTTACAAGTGAGACTACTCTGCACTGTTTGAAATGTATCCTTTAAAAGTCCTAGCCGGTGATTTATTTATTTATTTTTTATTATTGATATTATTTTTTTGTCCCTGCAAACAAAGAGCCAACCGGCAAAAGCAAGAACAGTAGAAAGCAACCAGGAATCAAACAACAACTAACAAGAACCACAAAACAGTTTCCGAAGGAGTACAGGCCCCTGTCTGGGATGGTTTTTGCCCTTTGTTTTTTCAATAAGAAAGTTTGGGAAGTTAATGAACGAGGGTGATGGCAGTGATGGAGAATGCCCTCCTTGTTTTCCTTTCTTTTCACTAATATATTTCTCCTTTCTAATGCATGAATAGAGGGTCTTTGTTAGGGGCTTTTACAGAAATGGGGTGTCCGTAGGGTCTGTTGTGAGAGAGCTTTGAATATTATAGAGCCTATGGTTAATTAGTTATATATATGTTACCCTAGGGTTTGTTGTTGTGTGTGAAAGTCACAGGAACAAATTCTTCTGCACTACAATTGATTTGTCCATAAAGGAATCTACTTTCGAAAAAACCTAACTCCGTCTCTCCCATGAGAGTTCTCTGTTTGGCTGAGTTCTCTGTGCTATCAGAGTTCTGTTCTCCTTCCCTTTTCTGATGTTTTTTGTCGACGCTGTGGCTTTGGCGTGATGATTGTTAAGGGATATTCGCGATTCCGTATTCGCTTAGGGCAAGGGGTTTTCTTTCTGTGGTCAAGGTGGTGTGTCCTCCCTGTGCTATTTCTCTGGTCTCCATTCTCTTCTCTTGTCTTCTTCTGTTCTTTGTTTGGTTGGCTTATCGGTGGAAAAATCTGGTTTTTGTGTTGGCTTATGTTCCTTACTGGCCATTAGTCGGGCTTCTTCGTTGTATCCGATTGTGGTGGTGTTCTTGGTTGGTGTGGATATGGGTTTGGTGTGGCTTAAGTGGTTGGGATAGCATCTGGTGGGCCTGGTAAGGCAAATCCCACGTGAGGTGTTTATTTACCTCACAGTCCCCAACTATCACTTCTTTCCTCGTTCAAGTAATTCACGTGGGCTTATGTTAGGCTCTATTGCAAGTTGTGGTTTGGATTAGGGTACGTTTTTTTTGCAGTTGTGCTTACTGTCATCATTACGCTTCATTGTGATTGGGAAGTTTTACTTGGCGTCTAAGTGTTGACCGGCTCCTATGCTATTCTAGTATGTTCTCCTTTTGTGTTATATCATCTTGGGTTTCTCTGTCTCTTTCTGGGTTTCATAGTTGTGCCCTTACACCGATAGAGCAAGTTACGGGTCTTATTGTATTGTCCTGTTCTTTCTTTTGTTTTTCTTGGGTTGATGGAGTCCTCTTTGATTGCTCAAATGAATGGTTTGACGCTTACGCGTGAGGAGAAGAGGCCCGTTCACTTATCGGCTAAGGATACTGCTTAAGGGGTGACTATGTGCTGTAACAATTTGTTTGGAAAGGTTTGGGCTTCGAAGACTATTACTTTAGTTGGTGCTAAGTACACCTTCAGCAGGATGTTTCAAAAGTTATGGCCCAAGGAAAGACAGAATGAAGCTTTGTCCTCACGTCTCATTGTATATAAAATTGCAGGGTATTTGTTTCAACTTGTCATTCCGGATGGTTCAGTTCATCTTCGGATCCTTCACGGTTGTCCATGGTTGTTTGATGGGCACCTACTAGTACTAAAAGAGTGGGAGGATGCTCTTCTTCTTTTTGAGTCGGCGTTTCATCTTTCACTATTTTGGATACAACTTTTAGATGTTCCAGCTAATTACCTCTCTGAAAAGGTTGGTCGTCGCATTGTCAATGCTTTTGGTCGGTGTTTGAAGGTGGAGCTGCGGGACAAGGGTATGATTGAGAGCAAGGAGACTTTGCTGGTTGATAGTGGGTCTTTGCCTCAAAGTGGAGTTGAATATTACTAAATCACTTCGTTTGAATGTGCGGTTGTTAGGTCCGTCGGATACCAATGTTTGGATTTAAGTTCGATATGAAAAGCTTTCGTCATTATGTTTTACTTGTGGTCTTATTGGGCATAATTGGAAGGTTTGTTTTGTTGGTGCCTCCTAGCCCCCTGTGGAGTTGATGGAGCATAGGCCTTGGTTAGGTGTGGAGGGCTACTTGAGGAAGGATATTTGAAATCCTAGAGGTGATCGCGCTGAATCTTTGGCTGTGAGTACTAGGAAAAATTGGCTCTATGTGGAGGGAGAAGCTTCGGATAGGGTCTTTGGCGACCTCCCTTTGACTGCGCGTCGTGGTCGGGTTCTTTCTAATACTGTTCCTGTTGTGGAAGGGGCGTTGTTAACTGTAGGTGAGGGTGCCTTGGGAGCGGTTGGTGCTGGTAAAGGTGCATGTTCAAATTCTCCACTTTCGGGTTCTCTTTTGGGTGCTACCGAGGTTGTGGGTTATGGTCAGTTTGAAGAGTGTGTTCAAGTGGGGGTGAGCGTGTCTGGTCAGGCCAATAATGGAGTCACGGCTCTCTCTCTCAGAGCTTTGTTGTTTCAGCCTACATTGAGGAGCCAGTTCAATGTGTGCCATCTTTTTCTCAGGGCCAAGGGCGAGTGTTGCCTTTGTCGCGATGGAATTAACATTCCAAAGGTGGTCATAAATGTAAAGGTTTGGCGGTACCCATAAAGGCCACTCTTCTGATTCTTTGGCATCCTCTCAAAGCCAGGGCTCTTCTCCTGCGAGGAACAACCATAAGCATCGACCACTCACTCCTGTTTCGGCCCCAGGATCAACTCCGATAGATGGGAAGAAGCCTAAAGTTTCAGTGGCTCCTCCTAAGGCGTGTTTGGTTACGGATCAGTTTTCATTTGGTGTTGTGGGTAACATTCCCCTTGTTACACAGACTGACGATTTTGCTAATTCTAACTCATCTCCATCGCAGTATTTTGTTACGTAGCTGGCACTTTTGGTTGGTGATGTCTAGCCTCGAGCTTCCACTTCAAACTGATCTGTTGGATGTCTTGTTTTTGCGGGTCTTGTGGTTCTTTTGTTCTCTTTGGTTGTTCAGTTTGTTCCTTTTGGTTGTGGTTTGTGTTTTATTGTTCAGTCTCTTATAGATGTCGTAAGGCATTCTGTTGTTAGGCCAAAAAAAAAAAAAAAATTGCATGAATAGAGTCTGAGTCCAAATTTTTTGTGTCAATAAAGGATAAGAATAAACTCTTTTTCTTTATTTTCATTTGAATAATTTGAAGGAGTACTATTAGAATTTTGGAAAGGAATGTGAAAACATTACTAAAAGAGTGAAGTAATCCCTCCTTATCATTCATTTCTATTCCTATATTTTCGTTCTCCATTTTTAAACTAAACATGAATCGGGCATTCTCTCCATTTTTTCTTTCATTTCTCTCAATCCAAACATGGCCTTGAAATTTTAACAACATAAATCATAAATCATTGTACAAACAACAACTCCATGCACTCCTTATGTTTGGATTAATTAGTTTTAACACTAAATTTCATTTGGGAGGAACAATTTCATATTGGATGGATTAGGTTTAATTGTTTAAGATGTGTAATTTAAATTTAGATTTAATAATTTGGATTTAAGTTTTACAACATTTATGGATTGGTTTAACTTTTAAGAGGAGTGTGTGTGGATTTCAAATAACAATGTAAAATGAGTTATTTAAATTTAGATTTAATAATTTGGATTTAAGTCTTACAACATTTATGGATTGGTTTAACTTTTAAGGGTATTGTGTGTGGATTTCAAATAACAATGTAAAATGAGTTATTTAAATTTCATGCACAATAATTGTAATGAAATGTTGTCATACCTTTAATTTAACATGTCCTTAGACTTCCAAATCTAACTTTAATGGTCAATTTAATCTGTTTCTTTCAAAAGGGAACTGATATTGATGCTCTACAATTATCCTCTAGCGCTTCATCTCTTATCTCTCTTAAAATGAAATTACAAAAGAGTTCCTTCATCACACCATGTCTCATTCTTATATTTCAATATTGTAATTGCCCACCTTATATGCCTAGTTTAATTCTTTTAATATTTACAGGAATTCCAATTTGTTCCAAGTTGTACCTTATCCCATGTGGGACTCTTTTAGATCTCTAACTCTTTTTTTTTTACCTTTCTTAGAATTCTAATTGATTAATGTATGCTAGTACGTCAAAGAACAACAAATAGTTTCCAAATTGCTGCTCAACTTGACTAGCTCACTCAGATAAGGACACAAATGTATATATATAACCTTTTACATGCTTATTTTGGTGGCCAAGTGTGGTTGTCAGTGAGTAAAAGGTGTTTGTTGTAATGTCAAAAAGAATATTGAGTTGTTAATAAAATCATTTGTTATATAATACGATCAATTCTGTGTGCTTATGTATTCATAAACAAGCAATTGTAATTTGTCATGAGATTTTTTTCATGCAATTTGATGAACAGGGGGGGGGGGGGAATTGGTTCTTTTATAAAAATTGTTTTGACACTTAATATACTTTTAATGCAACAGGCTCACACATCAACCACAAGTACTCAGTGATTTTACAAGGAAAATATTTCTCAACTAGATATAAAAACCCATGGTTGTTGGCCACAACCAATATAAGCTCCATTAGTTGTAATGCAAGTAGATACACACTCAGTTGTCTCTCACTCTACACACACCCTATCTCATAATAATGCACACGTGCACTCCCTAAGCAACCATGTTTGGACCCTATGAGCTTTCATAGCTCACCAAATGCATATATAAAGATGTATTACAACAATACTCAGGCAATTGCACAAGCCAGAGTGAATATATAGCTCAAAGTATCAAACAACAACAACAAAGCATCATTCTGCACAATCTGTGCTCAGAGGGGTAAATCTGGAATTTTGTATTATCACAGACCAGAAGATGGTTCCCTCAGACTTGTATCAACCTTATACACATGCTCAAATGATAATCACAATTAAACAAGTAACGTATTTAACTATCTCAGCTTAATAGGACTATCACTGTTGAAAACCCTAAAAACTAGT